GATACCAACTACTGGGATGTGTGGCAACCATCGATAACTCATTTCAAATTTGAAATTTGGCATCTTTCAAGGAGTGAGTATGTGCATCATTTCCGCAAAACCTGATGAGGAACTGACCGCTAGTGTCCCATTTCATCTTGTTGGAATGTTCTTAGGGTACATAACGGGCGTTCATGATCACGCCACGAACGAACATCTAATCATTGCCATTAATAATAATAAGATTGAAGCGATTGAAGCATGCATGCCGCAAATACAGTACCTTCCCTGTCAGCTTTAAACAACCACGTTCGATATAGATAACATATCACAGTTTTAGAACTGGATGCAATGGAAGGTAGGCCATTTCCTTTCTCGTTGATTACGATTACACAAAGGGAATTTTTGGCTTCTTTGGGCTCCTCTTCCTTAGACTCCTCAGCTATCAACAACTCGGATCCTTTTAATTCCTCTCGATAGCTATGCCTCCATCTTATTCCACGATCCGAGCCAAATGTTCAGTAATCCAGCATAAAGGACAAGGTCAGTAATCTTAAAGACGGACGCAATAAAAATCGTGGAAAATTGGCACCCACTCAATCCCGACGCTAGAACACCGACCGGTAAACTTCTAGACTTGAGGTGATGGCGATGTCACTCGAAGAACCCCCTCGCCCTGACGTTGCGTGTTTCCTTCCCCGTTTCCAATTTCTTTTCTTCGAGTTCCTCGACTCGATTTCTTCTGTCTTCCCAATTTTGTTTCTTATCAAGCTCATTCAAAGTATACGGAGCGGAGGTCATCGTATTTTCTTCCTCACAAGGTCGTTCGACGAGGACACGAGACGCAGGCATCCCATGACGTATTTCCGGTCCAATCGCCTTGAACACCTTTTTTTTTTCTGGCAACCACGATGTATAAGAAGCCCAGTGGTAAGGGGAAGGGGTCGCATCTTCGCATCTTCGACTTGACTTAATTGGGACGAAGGGGGACTTGGGTTCTTTTCTTCGATCGAAAGGAGCACGTGCGGTGGCGCTGCTAGGAATGGTATCTTCGTTTCCGGGTTCCTCCCCAAGGACAATCGTCATCATCGATATCGATATCGACATTGGCGTCCATTGTCACACCTTTGTTCTTTTTGTTTGCGAGTGACAACTTTCCTACCTCTTATGATTCAATTATAATTATTATCATCCATTCTCCACTCGATATCTTTCATAGTACCACGGTCCAGCTGTCCGTAATCTTGGTGAGCTTCGATACCGTATATATCAACAAAGGCAAACCAGTGAACAGCGTGTGGGTTTGAGCTCCGAGAAGGTTCTAGATATCAATTTCGATCAATGAAGCGCATGCGGTGGCGCTAATACTATCTAACGTACGTATCAAGTAATCCTACAAGATCAACTCTCCAGAGACCTCAGGCGCCAGGTGGCAGGTGCTCCTACTTACCAATCTCGAAATCTCGAATATAACTCTGACGCACAAACCGTAAGCTTCATTCTCGAACCTGTCATGTCAACTGAACTCCTGGTATCATCATATCATGATCACATTCTTCTTTCTACTCAAGTAGTTTCACGGGAATTGACGATGGATCACATGGAGAGACAGGGTCCACGCGCGTGTCCTAGTACTAGTACTAGTACTGGCCATGGATGGGGATGATGTGCCAGTGAGTTGTCGAATCCTGAATCCTGATCATGAATTTCTTTCCACACATCCCCGGATGCTCCTAAGTAGTAAGTACTCCGACTCCGAAGTGTTCACGCTGTCGTTGTTTCATGGTTCCTCCATGTGACATTGACATTTCGACCACCCTCAGGCTGGAAGTCTGTCAAAAGGCTCATCATGGTAAGTATCAACTGACCAACCTACATCCTCCATCCACTGTCTTCAGGTATCTGACACTGACACTTTCCGTCCTGTTATGGGGTCTTGGCACAGTGGTAGCGCGCATGCTTTGCATCTTACCTTTGGACTTGTGTGCATGAGGTCGTGAGTTCAATCCTCACAGGCTCCATGGAATGGAATGGTACGGCGTTTTTTCCCTTTTTTCAAAAAAAAAAACCCCTGAATAAAAAAACGTCCTGCATCTTGAATACCTAACGAACGAACCAACCCAACGAGATATGTATGTATATATATCTAATCTACTTCGTAATAACCAACTAGAGCACCAGTACTACATTCACAGTAGTTAGATGGTTACTTAGGCCCACTTGTTACTTCGAAGTACAATATGTATGGATATCATTGAATTCGAAATATCCGTACGATTCGGATTCGAGGTCCCCCCTCCTCTCCTGGATACATACTGTTTTATGTCCGTATAAAGAAACGGTATTTTCTTGTGAGGGACTCCGAATCAGGTATCGATAAGTACTACTATTGATTAGATATTCGGTTCTTGGCTCGAAGTAGAGATCATGATAATATTATCATCTTGTAATATTACCTCGTATATACATTCCCGCGAAACGTTTGGCCATGGTTTGGTTGGGCCAAGTACGTAGCAGTCTGATCATGAGTGATATTGGTTCGCGGGAGGTGTGGGAAGAATTCAAGAAAGTTGAAGAAACTGTCGATATACTTACTTACTTACTTACTGTCAGACAGACAGAGAGAATTGAAGCGGTGACTCGGAGTTACCTTGAAAGACACGGCGCCGTCCCATCATCGTCTCCATCGTCATCCGAGTCAAAGTTATCGTCCTACTTATTATTCAGCGCTGAGAGCCAGGCATATGATACGACTCGGAGTGCAAATTGTGCCGACCATCCAACGAACGAACTAACCAAACCCTTGAAACAGACGAAGAAAAAGTGGGTTAAAGTCTAAGACGAAGTCAAGACCTCGACAACGTGCCAGCCTCTACCAGGGCCTGGCAGTGACTGTGCCCCCCTCCCAGGCTCCCTCAGCCACATTACATACTAAATAATAATCAAGACCCGGGGACGGGGACTAAGTGCTATACTTACAGTGTCAGTAAAAGTAATCGCCGATGCATCGATGACTGGAATCATCAGTAGCACGGTCAGGCCTTCAAGCTTCAGGTACCACACACAACCTTACCTCATGGACAAATGTTACCGAAAGCGCCGCGGGATACTAATCGATCGATACGTGTAACGAACGTACTTACTTCCCTTGGATTACTTACGGATACGGATATGGATACGGATATGGATATGGGAATACCGTATGTATATATAACGATTTCGGTTACTTACTTACCTTACCTTACCTTACCTACCCTACCTTACTTTTTTGGCTATAGAGTGCAGTCAGCGTGAACGGGGCGTCCATCAGATTCACAAGGTGCCACTTGTCTACCGTCAAAGCTGATCGTCTGAGAACGGAAATGGGAAGTACTGTTACTGTTCTTGTCTGGACGGTCCTGCTTTCAATTCTTCTCCTTTCTGTTCTGCTTTCTTTCCGAGTGGCGAATACGTATGATTATTTGACTGAAACATTATAAAGATCTTTTATTTATTTAATTCTTACTTCGAGCCCGGAGGGAATACTTAATCGTTATATATAAATCGTCAAGTTCGAAGTTCGAACGATCCCATCGGTATATTCGTATCACCTAAATAAATAAATAATCACGACGATGAGACGCCGTTCTACTTATTAATAATAAGAAACGTATTTACGGATCCTTGTCATGCGAGAAGCTCAAGAAGAAAGAAAAAGAAAAGAAGCCGTTCGGTGCCACAGCCACGCGCAGTGCGCACGCGCACAAGTTCACATGAAAAATAGTATACGCGTCTTTCTAGCTTTGGTCTTGGCCTTTTTACCCTTTTGACTTATTTTTGTCGACGGGTCTCAGTACTTGGACCTCCTTTTTGCTTTGCTCTTGCCCGTGCCATTGGTGCTTGTTCTTAGCTTTCGTATCATGTATTCTGGTCATCGACATAGG